TAATAATATTACCTGCTGGGGGTGTATTTTACATGTAGAAATCCCAAGAGAATTAACTGAAACTTTCCTATCAATAAAAAACTATCTAGAAAACCCTTTGGAAGAAAAGAAAGATCTATTTCAGATAGTTTTTTATACCCAGGAATAAACTAATTTTCATATTATATAAGGAGATCTTATAAATTTTTAAAAAACAACTAAGTAGGAAAATGGACAAAGTGGACAGTCAGTTCATAGAAACATACCAAAAAAGGTGCCCGAACTCCCTTTCAGAAAAGAAATGTAAATCGAAGCAACAATGTAGTACCAATTTCTACTGATTAGTTTGGCAAAGACAAAAACAAAAGCAAATTAAAAGTTTGCAGATTCACTGAGTTGGCACTGTTGTGGGAAAATGAGCAATCTCACACAATGCTGGTGGGACTGCTCATTGGTGCAACCACTTGAGAGGGCAGTTTTCTAGAATCTCTCAGAATTAAAAGTGTACATACATTTTGACCCATCAGTTCCCCTTCTAACAATTTTCTACAGCTATATTTACACGAGTACAAAACAATAGACTAAATGCAATACAGAATCCTGAGTTGGATCCTGGAACAGAAAAACATCTAGTGGGTAAATCGAAGAAAATCTAGAATTTAGTTAATAGTAAGATACTAAGATTAATTTGTTGGTTTTGATAAAGGAAATCATGGTACGTGTTAAGCTGTTAACAATGGATGAAGCTGGGTGAGGGCCATTCAGGGATTCTGTGATACCTCTGTAAATTTTCTGTGAATCTAAAATTATTCCAAAATTTAAAATGTACTTTTAAAAAGGAGAGAGAAGCATGAGGGCATTATTACCACATTCTTGGTAATTGCAAAAAATTGGAAACCTCAATGCTGCCAAATGAGGACTTTAAACGAGTGTCTATCCACATGCTGGAATACTATGCAACTATTAAAAAAGCTAAAGCGGATCTTCTCAGACACACATAGATGTAAAAAGCAGAAGAGCAATAATTCGTGTACATTTTTTTAAATGCAAAGCCGAGGGAGACTTTTATCCAAATATTTCCACACAGAACACGGGCCACAGCTGTGGCCTCTGGTTGGGAACCAAGGGCCTGGGGGGTTGGTTGGTGAAGAAAGCAGATGCATGTTCTCCGTATATCATTTTGTAAAGTTTGCATTTTAAAAACCATACACATATATTTCTTTTTTAAAAATTAAATTTTGATTTGAAAAATTCCTAAGAGGCTGATGTAAGGGTAGGGGAGTGGGAGCCCATGGAACTCTGATCCCCCTTAGCCAGTCTTGCTCATTATCCCCCCACCCACCTGGGGCTTGGAGGTACCTGATCAGGGTCCTTATCTGAGAGGGGGCCCACCTGGAGCAAGAACTGGAGGGATCCCCTTCACCCCCCACGTCCCCCCACCCGCGGAGGAAGTGAGGCCGAGAGGAGGAATGAGAGGGTCCAGCTGTTGTGTTAGGCTGTCGGCCACCAGGGGTCGCCCCAGCCTGCAGTCTGTTTGCTGCCCTCTAGGGGCGCGGAGCTTGAGGCGAAGGGTGGGTCTGAGAACCGCCCCCAACCCTGGCGTAAATCCAGAAGTGAGCAGGAAATCGCTTCTCCCTCTGCAGTCAGCCAGAGCTGGAGACCAGGACACCGGCCTTTGTCTGACTTAAGACCCCCTCACTGTGCAGCTGTGGGGTTAAATGGCTGATCCTCGTAAAAGGCTGGGCTCAGAGCTCTACGTGGGACCTAAAACATTTATCATTATTATTCACTTATTAACATATCCACGAGGCCCCTGAAACTCAGCTCCCAGGATGGAGGGAAATGGGGAGCCACGGCAGATGTGTAAGCAGGAAGGGGGAGTCAGATCTGGTGTCAGAGAGAGCTGGAAAGGGAGAGAGGGCAGAAGTTGGGGCCTTTGAACTCCTGGAGAGGCCCATAGGTTTGGAGGTAACTTAGGGAGAACATTCCCAAGCCCCTGGTTGCACCTAGGCTCCCCAGCTTCCCAAGGAAGCAAACAGCAGTCCTTAGTGGGACCTGCCTCACAGACCCCCACCTGCCTCCCACCCCACAGGGCCAGCCCCTAGCCTGACCTTGCTCTGTTCTGCCTCTGTCTCTCCACCTAATTACCACTCAAAGTCTGTCTCTCTGTCTCTGAGTCTCTCTTTATCTTTGTATCTCCACCCCTGTCCCCAGTACAGCCTCCTGGGTCCCTGCCTTGGCCTCCTCTATCCATGGTCACTCTGGAGCCTCCCTCCACAGACAGCTGCAGAGACAGGGGTGGGAGAACTGAATGGGAAACCTTGGCTTAGCTGTGGGTGGAGGGCACCTAGGACAGCAGCAGCTTGACCTCGCTGGCCCCCCTGTTCCAGGTAAGAAAGTGGGTCACCTTTTTTTGAGTCAGGAACTCAGAGGCCCAGAGAGAACAGGCTGTTTCTTTCTAAAGTGCTTTCTTTGCCTCCTCTGTCACCTCCAAAAGCACAAAACTTAATTTCGCTTGAATTTAACCAAAACCCAAACACAACGGTGTAAACGTGGAGGGTTTTCTGAACTTTGCTGAAATTTTTCTTCACCAGAAATATCACTTCCTCGAAGACCTTCCAGAAGTTCTGTGAAAGTTTTTTTTAAAAACCTCGTGTCTCCAAGAGGACTTCAGTGTCCCTTTTCAGGTAGTGACATGAAGTTGACTTCCTCATGGAAATTTTCTCTTCTCTGCCTAAACAAACAAATAAAACCAAATTGATTGTTTTTAATTTAAGAAAATCGAAGCCTAATTTGGGGATGACCTTCTGAGGGAATTCAGAGAGGTTCATGCACAAAATTTCCTGTGATCGTAACAAATTGTTTTCAGGAAAAAAACACATCAGGGCCGATGCACTTTACCTCATGTGAATCCAAAGACCAGTCGCTCACCTCCTCCCTCTGGAATTTTCTGTCCAGCAAAACAGTCAGAATGTGCTCAGAAAATCTCTTTTTAGAGATTTTAGACACTGCTGGCAGGGGCGTCAATAGAAACAACCTTTTTGGAGGACAAGTTGGTGAAAGGTGTCAAAATGTGAAATGTGACTGCTTTGGAACCCAGTGATTTCATTTGTGGAGATTTGATATGGAATTTTATTTTGTTCATTAAATTTAAAAAACATTTAAAAACCGTCTAAATGCCCACTGATAATTATTATGGAATTTATCATGTGGGGAAAACCTAAACAAGAGGCAAAAAGGAATCAACAGATCCCAAAGACATAATACTGAACAAATAGAAGAAACTGCATCATTACTTCTTCCTTTAAACAAAAATCTAGCTATTAAAACAAGTTATTCAAAAAGAAACATTACAAGCCAAAGATGTGAGATCGAATTGTCAAAAAGAAACAACGTTATTTTTGAGCTTGATATAAAGACAGTGCGCATATTTAAAAATCTTGTTCTGAGATCGTAACAATTGTTCAAGACTGTAGCACATCGGCACCATCACATCTAAGGTGGCTTTTTACTTTTCTGGGAATTTATGGTTGCTTTTCTTTTTTCCTTGACAACAGATATCATGTTTGTATTTATACATACGTAACACCTTCAATATATCATGAAGGATGGCCAGAATCTTAAGTACACACGTAGAATGTCACACGTCTTGGCACTGGCCCAGGCACTGCCCCCATGCCTGAGCTCCTCCACCGGACCCTTGTCACTCAGACTCTACTCCTATCATTCCCCCTTTCCCGATGCTCCCACAGGCCCTAGGCAACAGTATGTGGATGTAGGGCTCCTTCCTGGTGTCTCAGATTCTCATCCAGGCATCAGAGGCCGTGCATGATCTAGACCCTGCCACCTTAAAAAAAAATGACACCATCGATTAGGGTTGAATGTTTGCCAGGCCCTGTGACAAGTGTTTTATAACTGGCTATGTTGCCTCCACTTTAGACAGGAGAAAACTGAGGCTCAAGGAGAAGTAATTTGCCTGAGGTCACACAGTGGTAGGTGGCATAGCCAGAACTGAACTCCAGAGCTCTAAATTGTAACCATGAATTTGCTCTGCTTGTATGGCCCCGGTTAACGAAGGTGGAAGATGTCCTCCTCCCACCCACTGTGGGGAGGGGGGACGACTCTGGGTGGGCCTGGCCAACCTAGAGGAATAGCTGGTTGGGCACCACTTGCAGCCCCCAACCCTCCTCCCTTCACTAGCAGCTGGGAAGGGTCGGGAATCAGGAATCACGGGGTAGCTGCAAGGACCAAAGGTCAGACAGGGGTTTCCTGCCCACCCCTGGGAACTTCCTCCTTCCCGACCTAACTCCCAACTCCTTGATGAACACCACTCTGGAGGACCCCTTCCCCCTGTCAACTACCTGCCCCCCCCTTCATTATACTGGCTAATGGGGGGATGGGTCCCCCTGCTGGAGCCTTCGCCCTCCTGTACCTCACACCACGCAGTGGACAACAATTGTGTTGTTACCCATCTAGGGTCCAGCCTCCTTTCCATCTCCTTGTCCCTTTTCCCTTTGTTCCTGTCCCTACTTCCTGCCACCCTTTATCCCATGGGGCTAGGAGCTGTGTCCACTCTGTCTCCACAAGCTTGAGGGCCCCTCCCAGCTGGGCCTGGGCCTGATGACTCTTGGGGGACCTTGGTGTCACCCAATATGGTTTCCCTGGAGCTCCTGGATCTGGGGAAACAGGCAGGAGGGTGCACCCAGAAGCCTTTGCTCCTTGGTTCCAAAATCTCCTCCATGCCCACCTGGGAGTGACCCCCAGTAAAGCTCAGCCCCCACCTATCCAGCTCTTCCTGTTCAGTATCTCGAGGAGCCCCAAAATAATGCCT